GGCCGTACCACACACGGGTAGCCCGACTCTAGAAGCTTCTAGGAGTTTCCTCGTAACTTCCAAATGTATATCTTCGTTTTCGAACGACATGAAACAAGTTGTGAGCTATAGCTATGCGCATTCGACAGTTTTGAGATAAAGAGATGGAAGTTCCTAGTAGTCCACTCACCCACCATTTTATGAAATGTCCATTAACCTTTACCTAAACCCATGTGGAAGAATGATTTTTTATTTTTATAGGTATATATGGAGATTTGAAACTCATCCATTGCTTGATTTAGCTTAGCATGAAGGAGGAAAGTAGCAACACCCAAAAAGCATAACCTAACCCAACAAAACGGCCCGTCCCTTTGCCACTGTTACTTCCACTACCACTACCAGTACTCGTGGCAGATGGGCTAGTGCCGCTGTCAGTGCTGCTGGTACCACTGCTGCTGCTTCCATCATCCCCATTATTGCCACTTGTCAATCCGTGAATGTCTGGGCTGCCGCTGGGCGTAGGCTGCACTACAACAGGAACGTCCGGCACACCAGCATACGCTGCACAGTCTTTCTTGTCCAATGTACGGTTAAATAGTTTCTTATAGCTTGGATTGTCTACAGTGCCGGGTGGGCAGTTGGCTGGAGGAACAAGTGGGTCGCAGCAGATGACACGAGGAGGAATCCTGGAAGGACCGTTGTAACACCCGGTCGTTCCCTGTACATGGGCAGATACACAAGTTAGTCATCTCTTACAAGGTTAGCAGCGAACCTGTAGATTTCGCCCACACCCCTCCATCCTCCCTCCTCTCCCCGCTTTCTACCCCTTCCGCACCTCGTCCCCCGCTCCTGTTTCTGCCAAACACACTCACACTACTCACAGGCACAATCTCAAGAGAGGTGCTGCGGTATCCGAGGGCTGAGAAGATGGCACCAAACGACATGTTCAGCATGCGCTCCTTGCTGTTGAGGAACTGACCAAACGTGGCTCCGGTGCCGGGGACTGGAGAAACGGCAACGGGAAAGGAGGGAGGCATGTGGAGGGAAGGATGAGGGGTAAGGAAAAAGGGAAACGTCGGGTCAAAGTATAGTGACGACGTCAGCCGGGTGGAGGGAAACAAGGGGTGGTCACTCTGTAAGCGCTCCTTCTTGTTCATGAAGTAACTGGATGAAGGGGAGAAGTGTCTCCTCTGTTCAAAGAAGGAAGATGGGTGATAAACAGGAATCAATACTACTGTTTGATATGGATGTATGCATTATATATTTGTAGAACCGACCATCCTTATTACATACTTGGAATTTTTGTTAAGCGGTGAACTGTACCTGGCAGTCCCTTGCAGTCGTCGAACATCTTGGTTGCAAAACTATCGCACATCGTGAAAATGGGGTTCGCGCCTACCCCTTCAGACTGGCGCACGTAGTTGCCCGAATCTGGAAACAGATGGGGCGAAAGCGGTGACGAACGGAAAAGCGGTAACAGGAACAAGCAAACCAGTGTGAACTGTTGGTCGCTTGAGAACTTCGTAATTGAGAATCTCGTTATTGAAAGGGAGCTCAGAGGAGTACGGAATTCTATCCGAGAGAGAAGTGCATAGCAATATCAGAGGAGTGCAGAGCACGATCAGACTGGGTTGCAGGGAACTATCAGAGGAGTGCAGAATGTTCGAGAAATGGAGAAAGAATCGAAGCGCAGTCGTGCATTGACAAGTATGCAGGATTGGTCCACTTAGCGTTTGGCAGGACTCAAAACGAGGGGCGTTAATAAACACGTACCTGGGTTACAGTTAATGGCGCAGCCAACCTGCTCGAAATCGTTCGAGCAGTCGTGGAATCCCACAAATAAAGAGCACATCTGGGAGGGGACCAGACGCAATCGAGGCGAAGCATGTGTTTGAGAGAAACACGCGCACACACACACCAAGTGACAATCGGTTGAGTCGCAAAACAACGACGATTTTCGGATTTGATTAGGAACGAGAAAGCACATTATTTGCCAATTCAGACCCGCAGAAGGCGGATGGTTAGGGGAAAAATACTTTTCTTCTAACGCTACTTTCCCTAGCATTCAACCAAGAAAACTTTCACACAGCAGCTGCGCCAACGAGCGCCTGAAATTCACAACTTTTCCGGGAAACATTTTCCCAAGGTTCTGGCCTCTGAGATTTCTCGCGACATTCTTTCACTCCATTTTTCGCAACATTGCTCGCGAGCCACACACCTGAACCTCTGTTCCCCCTAGCAGCTGCGCCAGCGACGGTGCGAATTGATTAACGATGGTCGACTCGTTCGCGAGAACCGCCGACAGCGCCATTCCGTTGTCGAAGCAGCTCTCGCAGCAGCTCGCTTCTGCCGCGTCCACACACCGCGACGGGATAATTGTCGGTTTTTGCGGTGGTTTTTGCGTTAAGGGGCAGAGCGGGTAGCCCTCTGCGGATATCGGCGGCAGATGCGGTAGAAGCAGTGTCGTCGTGGCGAGGAGAGAGAGAACGACGCTTAGAAAACGGGCCATTGTGGGCCTAAAAACTATAGGTCAACAAGCACAGAAGTAGTCGCGTAGTGCGGGGTCCGAATGACTAAAGGTCACGCCTAGGTGAGAGGTACTAGGAGTCGAAGCAGGGCCTCGTCTTACTGAAATCATGAAACCGTCGTTTATCGGGTCCTTCGAATGCAGCGGCAATTGATCCGCGCATTTCATACATCAGTGCCAGACAGGAACGCCTGATAACGCCTCCCTCACCTACCCCCCTAGTAGCCGAGGGGGAGAAAGTATGAAGGGACGGCAGCAAGGTGAATGTGCAGACTCGATGACGCGGCATTTTTCGTTGGAAGGAAGACCCCCTTGATGCCTATTGGTGGGCGCCGCGGTTCTATCTCGCACGTATGTGGAAGTGGCGTTTCCTCCACCTCTTTGACAACCTATGTTCTCAAAACACTATTTTGCGCTATACCTCGCCAGCAGAATGTCTTTATTCGGCAGAATCATCACTCGGCGAAACGGAAAGAAACGGACTACCATGCAAAATGCCAACGGGACCTGGTGAGGACAAGGAAATCCTGGTCGTCGTTTTGACCAAACGGGTTTCTTTCGTACAGTACAGACACCCAACTGCAGCACATGTGGCTTGGCTACTACACAAGATGCCCAACCCCTGCACGCGAAATTGCCTTGTACGTTCCAGAAACCTTGCACACGAAGGTTTTTTCCCGGGCAGTTGCACCCACGTTACAAGCACGTCAACCAATACGAACCACAGAAACAGAAGAGACCGAAGTCAAACAGTCAACGGTGAGTTACAAAATTTTGCTATAAGCCCTTTTTGCCCGATGCGAATTGACGAAACCTCCACGAAATGCATGAATCACTTAAGCGCCCCCTTCACAAGGCAACCTTGGGTTAGTCAAACGGACATCGTGTGTAGACCATAGTGGATTTCGGTATAGTGAAGTAAAGGGAGGAAAAGCACGGTTTAAGGTGGTTGAGTCATGTTTCGGTATGGTTCAGTTAGGCGAGTCGAATAAATCAAGGTCTGCCAGCGAGTGCCGTACACTTCGGTAAAGCGAGAAACAGGGTGGAGGACCCGAAAGGTTGCCTTATGGGTTTTCAGTTACATACTACACTCAAATTTTCGTTAAGAGTCATGCCACCTTCGCCTCCGCGTACGTGTACAGTGTGCACATTGTTGGCGATATGCTTATCAGAATTATAGCCTTGTGCGTGCATGGAGCATAATACACACTTTGGCGGCAATGTTCCTGGAGTGGCACACCCAAAAGCACACTGTATGTACACACCTTTTGGGCAGTCATCGTGATCCTCCTAGCCAGCAACATCCGTGCTGCTTATCATCTGCGTATCACATGTAACACCCCCTAGAGGCAATATCCTTAGCAGCAGCATCCTCATAGCCAGCTAGCAGCATTGGAAAGCGTTGATATTCATAGAGCAGGGAGCTATATTCAGCAAATATGCCCTGCTCGATTCAGTGAATCAGCAAGACCGCGGAAATTAGTAACATCCAGAAAGCGTAACCTGACCCTGCGAAACGCCCACTCCCTTTGCCGCTATTGCCACTGCCACTAGTATTGCTGGCAGATGGGCTAGCACCACTGCTGCTTCCACTTTTTCCATTGTTGCTGCTGTCGCTACTACCACTGCTGCTGCTTCCATCATCCCCACTAGTGCTAGCCGTTGAGCCATCAAAGCCAGAGCTGCTGGGAACAGGCTCAACTGCAATAGGAGTGTCCGGTATACCAGCATATGCCGCACAGTCTTTCTTGTCCAGTGTACGGTTAAAGCCAGCAGCTAAAATAGTGACCCCCCCCCTTCTAGTTGGGTCCAACTTGAAGACTCAAGTTTCTTTGTAGTGTTGTGGAAGGTTGAAGTACTGTGCGTGCCATTTTTTTACAGCTCCAGACAAGTTTCGAGGTGAACAAGAATCAAAGTTCTTTCTCAATTTTGATTGGCAGCCAAACAGTTGTGCGAATTTGGCGCAAAGAGCTGCGACGTGCAACGCAATGCAACCATTTGACGAGTTGTGACTTTCAAATGCACATTTAGCAACAGCACAGACAAGATCCCAAGCACACACATACACTGAGGAATACGACGAAGTGCAGCGGAGGTAGCGACGGGAATGAAGGGGAGACATCGATGGCGACGGAATTGGAGAGATATCTTGAAGGCGGGATGACGGGAGGGGTGATTGTGAGGGCGACAGGGCGTTGGCAGGGCGACGGGACGGACGAGATAGCCGAATCAAGGTGGGCTCGCTAACGAATGCGAAGGCGAGGGGCTGCGAGAGGAGATGCGACAGGAAGATCGTGAGTGTGGGAGATGGGAGGGGAGAGCGTGAGCGACGGGGAGATGCGACGGGGAGAGCGTGAGAAATGTTTGAACACTATAAGACTGAAAATGTATACCGTAGAAAATTAATCTTATTTGAATCATAGTTCCAAAAGGAGAGAGCCGCATAACCCACGTCCCTTTCAGTGCCCCATTTCAGCGTTAAAAAAAAAAAAATTTAACCAGGTACGGTAGTACTTCGAGCGGAGACAGCGAGAGCGACGTAAGGAGAGAGAGGAAGGTTGACGGGAGAGATGAGGCGAGATGGGAGAGAAGAGGGGCGACGGGAGAGAGGATGGGCGTCGGGAGAGAGGAAGCGCGACGGAGAGAGGAAGGGCGACGGAGAGGAGAAGGGCGAATGGAGAGGGGAAGGGCGAACGGAGAGGGGAAGGGCGAACGGAGAGGGGAAGCGCGTCGGAGAGAGGAAGTGCGAATGGAGAGGGGAAGGGCGACGGAGAGAGGAAGGGCGAACGGAGAGGGGAAGGGCGACGGAGAGGGGAAGGGCGACGGAGAGGAGAAGGGCGAATGGAGAGGGGAAGGGCGAACGGAGAGGGGAAGGGCGAACGGAGAGGGGAAGCGCGACGGAGAGAGGAAGTGCGAACGGAGAGGGGAAGGGCGACGGAGAGAGGAAGGGCGACGGAGAGGGGAAGAGCGAACGGAGAGGGGAAGGGCGAACGGAGAGGGGAAGGGCGACGGAGAGGGGAAGGGCGAACGGAGAGGGGAAGGGCGAACGGAGAGGGGAAGGGCGACGGAGAGGGGAAGGGCGACGGAGAGGGGAAGGGCGAACGGGAAGGCGACGGGACGGTGACGGGAAGGCGACGGGACGGCAAACGGGAAGGCGACGGGACGGCGATGGGAAGGCGACGGGACGGCGACGGGAAGGCGATCGGACGGCGACGGGAAGGCTACGGGACGGACGACGGGACGGACGGCGCGAGGACGATTGGAACGGGAGGGCGAGCGAGATGCGATGGGAAGGCGGCGAGAGTGCGTTCGAAACGGCACAAATCACTAAACTGTTAAATTGCCAGCTGCACTATGCGTCTAAATTGAAACAACAATGGCCGAAGTTGACGGGTGTATGGCTACTAGACAGGCTATTAATAATAAAAAACAGAGATGTCTGATCGGAAGAACTAGTAGTTCACCCAGGCCCAACTTGAACCCCAAGCTGGGCCCTACATCGCAAGGACGTGCGTGAGCGATCGCAGTGCTAGTGTTGTGCACCTTCCCAAACAGATGTGCGACGCCTGACGTGCCGTGTTGCCTTTTTTTGGGTTTGGCGGGAACCAATCAGATCTCTTCGGTCTGCAAAAATGATCCCAATGAAACAGTGCAAACGAGAGAAAATTGTTTCGCTCGGCAGGCCCTCTTTCAAGCTGGCCCCGGGTTCACTATTTTGCATTTCGGTTTTAAAGAGTTTTTTTAAGCGGGGATCATCTACAGTGCCGGCAGAGCAGTTGGCCGGAGGGACGAGCGGGTCGCAGCAGATCATGCGAGGATTAATCTTGGTAGGACCGTTGTAACACCCAGTCGTTCCCTGTACACAACCAAACACACAAATAGCTGAGTGCGGTTTGATTATGAGCGTCACCCTATCGACTTTGCCTCCTCCCACCTCCCCTATTTCCCCCAGTCCGCCCCCTATTCGCCTATTTCCATATCCCAATTTCTTGTGCCCCCACTATCTACAGGCACATTCTCAAGGGTGGTACTGTACCTGAGGGCTTACCTGAAATGTCGATTCCTTTTTCAGCGCTATAAACGTGGGCGACCTCAAACATCTCTTTTCCAAGAGCCTGGAAAAGACCGCTTCCACTACTCACAGGCACAATCTCAAGAGTGGTGCCGCGGTACCCGAGGGCCGAGAATATCGCGCCGAGCGTTTTGTTCAGCAGGCGATCCTTGGTGTTGAGAAACTGGCCAAACGTGGCCGTGGTGCCGGGGACTGGAAGCACAGAGCGGGGAAAAGGGAAAAGAGTGTTGATAGTTTTTAGCAGGGTAAACGGGAAGTTAAGGAGGAATGTTCAGCAGGCGATCCTTGCTGTTGAGAAATTGGCGGAACGTGTCTGTGGTGCCGAGGACTGATGGGAAGGTGCGCGAGAATGGAAGGCACATAAGCATGATGGAGAGGGAGAATTGGAAAGCGAGTGCCCAAAGTGGCAAGAGCGTTGGTTGTAGCTAGAGTAGGATGGGTGGTGAGGATTTACAGATGAAGAACCTCTTTTATGCAAGAAAGTTTGGTGATGGACAGAAAACCGTACCATCGAATATACAACCATCCACACTTGTTTACCTGCTTTGGAAATATTGTGAAATAGCGCACTGTACCTGGCAATCCCTTGCAGTCGTCGAACATCTTGGTCGCATAGCCGTCGCACATCGTGAAAATGGGGTTCGCGCCCACCCCTTCAGGCTGACGCACGTAGTTGCCCGAATCTGGAAACGAAAGTGGCGAAATCATTGGCGAACGAAGAGACTGTACCAAGAGACTGTACGAAGAGACGGTTTAGCGTTTGCTAAGTACATCGTTAAATGAAAGGGAATTCAGAGGAGTACAGAGAGAACGAGAAATGGTAAATAGCTTAGAAGCAGTGTTTCTGCATTGACAAAAATAGGCAGCGTTGGTCTATTTCATTAGATAGGATTAATTAGTAGAGGTGATGTAAAGACTTGCCTGGGTTACAGTTTACGGCGCAGTTGACTTGTTCCAACTCGTTCGCGCAGTCGTGGAATCCCACGAATATGGAGCACAGCTGGAAATGATACAAGGATGCAAAGAGGTCACAGCGACAATGAACAGACACATCAGGTGACGTTAGGTAGAAAAAGACTGAATGATGAAACGAGAGAGAAAAAGAAGACTCGGAACCGCCGTCGTCAGTCAAGGAAAAAAAAAAAGGGTTATTCTCCCAATGCCAAACCCGTGGCATACCCCAAGAGACACCTGCGCCAGCGACGGCCCAATCTTTCTTCACAAGATAATATATCGCAAGGTTCTTCACAAGGTTCTTAAGAATGCCATCTTCAAACTGTCGTTAATTCCAAGATTTTCCACAAAACTGTTCACAAGATTATTCAAGATTCTTCGCGAGACTCATCGTGACATTCTTCAAGACATTTTTTCGCAACATTGCTCGCGAGCCACGCACCTGAATCTCTGTTCCTCCTAGCATCTTCGCCAGCGACGGCGCGAATTCATTCAGGATGGTCGACTCGTTCGCGAGCACCGCCGACAGCGCGAATCCGCGGTCGAAGCAGTTCTCGCAGCAGCTCGCTTCTGCAGCGTCCACGCACCGCGACGGAATAATCGCCGTTTTTTGCGGCGGTTTTTGCGTTAGGGGGCAGAGCGGGTAATCCGCCGCGGATGACGGTGTCAGAAGAGTTAGAAGCAATGCCGTAGTGACGATTAAAGAGAGAACGGTGCTTTGAAACCGGCCCATATTGGAACCTGGCTTCAACACACGTAGGAGGAATTACTAGGTCCGTGTGTATAAACGCGCGAGGAAGGAGGCAACGAAGCGGAGCCTCGAGTTATTGTACTACTAGAGGATAGATTGACCGCTTATCAGGTCCTCCGATGCCGCCTGAACTCCACGCGTTTCACACACAGATTTCTGCGCAAGTTTGAATGCCTAACCATTGTGACACACAATATGATAAAATGGGCATTCTCTCTTCCTCCCCCCCCCCCCTTGTAGGCACAGTAGAAGTCGAGGGGGAGAAGTGTGAGGCAGCAGGCAGACGAATGGGAGGTCTTGGCGACACCGCATTTTCCGGTGGAGTGATCTGGCTTGTGGTGATCATTGTCGTTGCGTGTAGCCTAGGCAAGCGCCGAAACAGGGGGTAGGGTGAAGACATGTCACGTGAGGACCATTTCACATTGAAAATGGAAGACGTAGAGTTGTTCGAAGCGCGCACATGTGCGCAATGTTGAAAACTCACCTCACTATGAAGATTTATAGGCTAACTTCAAAGTGTCCTGAAAGTTCAGGGCAGAGAAGGAATGTTCTTTGTCGGGTTCTGGGTTGGTTCTCGAGATAATATCTACTCTGTAAATGGATTGACAAGGCTAAAGTTATCAAAGTATTCCTTCTATGAAGGTATGGAAGAAAAACCACAGTTCTTTATGTGCCTCAGCGGGATGAGATCTGCCATTCGCGTCGCGCGATGGGTGGGTTCAGTGGCTGTTCTTCGGTCGGCGTCCTACTACACTAACACGGCACTGTAGCTGCAAATGGCTGTTGCGCTGGCACTAGAAGAATTAGGGCGCGTGTGATTTTTGAAAACTGCAAAGTTCACATTTTTTAGGCGAATTTCCATTTTGATTTCATGGCGAACTGTAGTCGATTTTCGGTGTTACCGAGGTTCGAGCCGCACGTTATTTTTCAAACCAATCACAACAACACAACTTTGGTCGAATGTCGAGATTCGACCCCTTAGGTTACCCGGTTCCTGACACGTGGTTTTCTCTGACATCGCGACTATTTTCGCGTTTTCGGCAGGGGGACTTTAGTTTCGTACGTCTGAATAACTTTGCCAAACCATCCAGCGTACCCAAAAGTGCACACGTTCGATTCAACGTGCTCGCGCATGTTCATTTAAAGCGGCGGTATACATTTGGCAGGGCCTGTGCCAAAAGTTTATAAAAGTTACTTGGTGGTGACCGAGTTACAAGCCTACTCAACTTCTGTCACGAGCGACGGTTCCCAAGTGTTCCCAACTCCCCTCACAAGCCGAGGCCACTCAATTGTCGAAAGTTTATACATGCCAAAAGTATACTGAAGGAGTTGCCTCCTCGCACTAGCCCCAAGCATTGTCGCCGTGAACAATTATGAAAACTAGCTACCGGGGGCAATATTTGCCATTACGATCAAGCTTGATCTTACGCTTAGGTCATACGTCGTCCATACCATGGCTTAGGTTTTGCATCGCCTCGTAAGACTTCGCGTCGTAGACTCGCCTCAACGCCCGTCGCGGCGTCACCTCTCGGCAAATCCGCTCCCGGCGTCGCCTTGCCGCAAATACGCACGCGACGTCGCCTCGCCGCTAATACGCACGCGGCGTCGCCTCGCCTCAAATACGCACGCGGCGTCGCCTCGCCGCAAATACGCACGAGGCGTCGCCTCGCCGCAAATACGCACGCGGCGTCCCATCGCCGCAAATACGCAGCGGCGTCGCCTCGTCGCAAATCCGCTCGCAGCGTTGACTCGTCGCAACACGATGCCTCCTCACGCCACTGCGATCACGCTGGCCGCGCCACACGCTGCGGCCCTCGTGCTCCTCCCAATAAACCCTTTTCGCTGCCCCCCTTTACCGCCTCCCGATCTCCCTTTACCGCCTCCCGATCTCCCTTCCCGTCGCCCCATTTCCGTTCTCGCCGCCCGATTCCCCTTTCCGCCGCCCCTTTGACCTTCCCGCCGCCGAATTCCCCTTCCCACCGCCCAATTCCCCTTTTTCTCCGCCCAAAGAACCCATTCCTGCCGCCCATTCTCCCCTTCCCGCCTCTCATTCAACTCCTCCCGCCTCCCTTTCCCCCATTCCCGCATCCCGTTCCCCCCTTCCCGCCTCCCATTCTCCCCTTCTTGCCTCCCATTCTCCCCTTCTTGCCTCCCATTCTCCCCTTCCTGCCTCCCTTCTTTCCCTTACCTCCCATCCCTCCCTTCCCTCCCTTCCCGCCCTTCTCTCCCTTCCCTCCCTTCTCCCCCGTCCCTCCCTTCTCCCCCGTCCCTCCCTTCTCTCCCTTCCCTCCCTTCTCTCCCTTCCCTCCCTTCTCTCCCTTCCCTCCCTTCTCTCCCTTCCCTCCCTTCTCTCCCTTCCCTCCCTTCTCTCCCTTCCCTCCCTTCTCCCCCGTCCCTCCCTTCTTCCCCGTCCCTCCCTTCTCTCCCTTCCCTCCCTTCTCTCCCTTCCCTCCCTTCTCTCCCTTCCCTCCCTTCTCTCCCTTCCCTCCCTTCTCTCCCTTCCCTCCCTTCTCTCCCTTCCCTCCCTTCTCCTCCGTCCCTCCCTTCTACCCCGTCCCTCCCTTCTCTCCCTTCCCTCCCTTCTCTCCCTTCCCTCCCTTCTCTCCCTTCCCTCCCTTCTCTCCCTTCCCTCCCTTTTCTCCCTTTCCTCCCTTCTCTCCCTTCACTCACTTCTCTCCCTTCACTCACTTCTCTCCCTTCCCTCACTTCTCTCCCTTCCCTCCCTTCTCTCCCTTCCCTCCCTTTTCTCCCTCCTTTCTTCTCTTCCGCGCCATGCATTCCCATTGTCCCCTGCCTGCCTCACAATCTATCCTTCCAGCCTCGCCCTTGTCGTCCTGCCTGTCATTCCATCTCCCCTCCCTGCATACCCCTCTCTTCCTGTCCTCCCTTCTCTGCGCCTCTCCCCCTCACTGTGCCCCTTGCTATACTATTCCCTCTTGTTACCTTTCCTGCCACCCCTCCGAAGCTGAAAGCGATCTCAAAGTGCTTTTCCTCACATGCCTTCCAAAGCCGCCTCCTCCCCCTGAGTCCCCTCCTCCCCCTCGACCTGATTCCTCTCGAATTCTTCCTGATTCCCCTCATTTTCTTCCTGATTCCCCTCATTTTCGTCCTGATTCTCCTCATTTTCTTCCTGATTCCCCTCATTTTCGTTCTGATTCCCCTCATTTTCGTCCTGATTCTCCTCATTTTCTTCCTGATTCCCCTCATTTTCTTTCCTGATTCCCCTCATTTTCTTCCTGATTCCCCTCATTTTCTTCCTGATTCCCCTCATTTTCTTCCTGATTCCCCTCATTTTCTTCCTGATTCCCCTCATTTTCTTCCTGATTCCCCTCATTTTCTTCCTGATTCCCCTCATTTTCTCCCTGGTTCCCCTCATTTTCACCCTGACTCCCCTCTTCTTCATCCTAATTCCCATCATTTTCTCCATGATTCCTCTCATCACAGCTTGTGGTTGAACCATTACCCTTATTTCCTGCCCTCGGATTCTTTCCCTTTCCCTGACTATTTCAGTGACTGACTGCTCTGAAGATTTCAAGCTTCAACATGCCTCACCCAATCATCTCATGTCTACCGCAGCTAATATTTGTTGCCAAAGGCATAGAGAAAGGGTCAATAGTACGGTACCTTGCTTGCTCCTCTTGGCCTTTGCCTATAGTCTAAAGTTATGTGAGAACATGTTTCTTTCTACCTGTAAGGGATGTGACACCTGTCCATGCATTGCACTGCTGAATTATGCTAGTACATAGTAAGCTTCATGACACATCTTTCTAGGAATAACTCACTACCATACTTGCATCACAATGCACACGAGACAGAACATAAGTGGTGACAAACCATCCACTAGCTACGCCTCTGCTTGTAATTGCTGCCCTCTGTATCAACACAGCCAATTAGCAGAGTAGGCAAAAACGAACCAGTAATGCTCCAGGGAAGGTGCTGTGAGGCAGAAGAGAAGCAACAAAGGAATTCAAGCACGTGATGGCACTACATGCACAGGAACTAGATTGTAGACAGTGACGAGTAAGTGAGGGGGGTGGGGAGGGCATGCAAGGGAAGGGAAGGGAGAAGGGATGGGAAAGGGAAGGGAACCCCAACCGGACCACGAACTCGTCGCGGTGTAACGCACTGCTTCACACGCACTCGCAACAGCGCAGTAGTGCTGGCCACCAGGCCACGACACGGGAGGGAAGATGCGAAGGCAGGGAGAGCGGTGATGGGAAGGGAGGGATGGGAGATTAGAAGGCAGGGTTGCGTGTGAAAAGATGAGAGCAAGTGGGAGGAGCAGAAAGACAGGTAAGTTGTGGGGCAATGGTGGGAGAGGAGGGTTGACGGTTGAAACTCGGCTCTGTCTGCGAGCAAGGGAGTGTGGGTGCACGGCAGCAGTTTGTGTGTGCATAGGTGTGCACAGCAGCACAGTAGCGCCATAACACCCACCTGAACAATCAGGTCTCGAGTGGGCAACACAACGACCGCTCTGACTTGTCGCACCACGTGCCGCACCAGGGCCTGCATCACTGGCTGCACATACGCCAGCGTCTACTGGGAAGGGGGAAATGACCGTATTACCCACCTAGGCATCCAGGTCTCTGGCGGGCAGCACTATCACCGCCCGCACCACACGCCCTGCTAGTGACTGCACCAATGGCAGTGCATACGATAGGGTAGTAGGGGGAAAACAAACCAGAAAGGAGGGGAGAAACAGAGTATAAGCTGGAGGGGAAGGAACATGGGGGAGGAGGGCTAGCACGGGTGAAAGGAAATGGTAAGCAAAGGTGGACTCTAATGAAGAGCAGGGGGGGAATTAGGAAAAGGAGGGTGGAAAAATAGGGGAAGCAAAACGGAAAAATGATGAGAAGCAAGGGAGCGAAGGCGGGACAGAGAGGAAGAGGGGAAGTGCGGAAGAGAGGAAGGGGGCAAGGGAGGAGATTGGTCGAGGTAGGGAACAGGGGGCTAGAAGAAGATTGGATGAGAGAGGAGATGGAAGGGAGGAGAAATGACGAGGAGGAGAGAAAAGGGAGGAGGTTGGACGGGGGAGGAGAGGGAAGGGAGGAAAATGGACGAGTGAGGGAAGAAAATGGATACGGAAGGAGAGTGAAGGTAGGAGAGGGGATGGAGAGGAAAAGGGGCAAGCAGAGGGGGGAAATGAGGGAGGGAAAGGAGGGGATGCTGTGGGGGGGAGGACAGGAGGGGATGCAGGGAGGGGAAGGAGGGGATGCAGGGGGGGAAATGAGGGGATGCTGTGGGGGGGGGGGACTGGAGGGGATGCAGGGAGGGAAAGGAGGGGAAGCAGGGAGGGAAAGGAGGGGATGCGTGGGGGGAAAGGAGGGGAAGCAGGGGCGGAAATGAGGGGATGCGTGGGGGGAAAGGAGGGGAAGCAGGGGCGGAAATGAGGGGATGCGTGGGGGGAAAGGAGGGGAAGCAGGGGCGGAAATGAGGGGATGCGTGGGGGGAAAGGAGGGGAAGCAGGGGCGGAAATGAGGGGATGCGTGGGGGGAAAGGAGGGGAAGCAGGGGCGGAAATGAGGGGATGCGTGGGGGGAAAGGAGGGGAAGCAGGGGCGGAAATGAGGGGATGCGTGGGGGGAAAGGAGGGGAAGCAGGGGCGGAAATGAGGGGATGCGTGGGGGGAAAGGAGGGGAAGCAGGGGCGGAAATGAGGGGATGCGTGGGGGGAAAGGAGGGGAAGCAGGGGCGGAAATGAGGGGATGCGTGGGGGGAAAGGAGGGGAAGCAGGGGCGGAAATGAGGGGATGCGTGGGGGGAAAGGAGGGGAAGCAGGGGCGGAAATGAGGGGATGAGTGGTGGGAAAGGAGGGGAAGCAGGGGCGGAAATGAGGGGATGCGTGGGGGGAAAGGAGGGGAAGCAGGGGCGGAAATGAGGGGATACGTAGGGGGAAAGGAGGGGAAGCAGGGGCGGAAATGAGGGGATGCGTGGGGGGAAAGGAGGGGAAGCAGGGGCGGAAATGAGGGGATGCGTGGGGGGAAAGGAGGGGAAGCAGGGGCGGAAATGAGGGGATGCGTGGGGGGAAAGGAGGGGAAGCAGGGGCGGAAATGAGGGGATGCGTGGGGGGAAAGGAGGGGAAGCAGGGGCGGAAATGAGGGGATGCGTGGGGGGAAAGGAGGGGAAGCAGGGGCGGAAATGAGGGGATGCGTGGGGGGAAAGGAGGGGAAGCAGGGGCGGAAATGAGGGGATGCGTGGGGGGAAAGGAGGGGAAGCAGGGGCGGAAATGAGGGGATGCGTGGGGGGAAAGGAGGGGAAGCAGGGGCGGAAATGAGGGGATGCGTGGGGGGAAAGGAGGGGAAGCAGGGGCGGAAATGAGGGGATGCGTGGGGGGAAAGGAGGGGAAGCAGGGGCGGAAATGAGGGGATGCGTGGGGGGAAAGGAGGGGAAGCAGGGGCGGAAATGAGGGGATGAGTGGTGGGAAAGGAGGGGAAGCAGGGGCGGAAATGAGGGGATGCGTGGGGGGAAAGGAGGGGAAGCAGGGGCGGAAATGAGGGGATGCGTGGGGGGAAAGGAGGGGAAGCAGGGGCGGAAATGAGGGGATGCGTGGGGGGAAAGGAGGGGAAGCAGGGGCGGAAATGAGGGGATTCCTGGGGGTAAATCCGTGAGGCGAGCAGCGCGTTACTGGTGGCTGCAGTAGGATGGCTGGCTCGCGCGCGCTTCTGGACTGAATTTCGATGGAGCGCGCGTGCTTGCAACCGCGTGCTGTTTGCTGGGCATCTAAGCGTCACATGCGCTCGCTGTGCTGGCGCGCCGCGCGGTATGCAGGCCTAAACCGTATTTTTCTGCGGCGTGCGTCTTGCTGGCAAGCTTCGCTCTGCTGAGCGCGCTATGCTAGCGCGCGGACGGAATGCCAGCATAGCGCGCGCAAGTGCCGGGCGCGGATGCCAACACAGCGCGCGAAAGTGTTGCGCGCGGAATGATAGCGTAACTGGCGCAAGTCCCGCTCACGGAATGCCATCATAGCTGGCGCCAGTGACGCGCGCGGAATGACACGACGCACACGGAGTGCCACCATCGCTGGCGCTAGTGACGCTCGCAGGCGTCGCCTGTTCTGCAAATGGCTAAATACTCACCCGCGTCTATGTATGTGGTCGCGCTGCTGGCCTAGCACCCTCCGGCCTGCTGTACCTAAACTAGTAGCTACTAGATGCGTATTCTCCGTAGTGTGATGTAGAAGGCAAGTTCGGTGACGGGAGTTTTTTCCCATTTTGTGACCCACAACCTACCCAACCATGTTCCCCTTACAACTGAAGCGCTCCAGTTTTTCGCCAACACTCTCGCTATTCTGTTTACATTTTCGTTGAGGCGAAATCGCCTGGCACACTGTGCAGAAACAACAGTGCTGCCAAATGTATACTCCTGCTTTAATGAGTCGAGTCGAGTTCATATATTCAGGTCGCACTTGTCATGTGTTCAGATTGGAAAGTTTTCGCCAGACTTTTTAGCGACATTCACGAAAACGGTAACCATGACTCAGTTCGACCTGATTTTTGAACCTAGAAAACAATCACACGCGCCCTTAGTGCTGTGTGATTCGTTGAGCACGGTAAGAGATAAGCGTGAACGGCGACGGGGAATACAGTTGTTCTCGTTTAAAGTCCGACGGAGAAACACGCCGCGCGCGGACTATATGTCAAAATGTCGAAACCTCGGGCAAACGGGACCCTATAGTCCCAAATTCGAGAAAATTGCATGAAAAGCGGTTTTTTGTCTCTACTGGTTGTTGTTTTTTGTCATATACGTACGTATGGACCGCGCTTGCTTCAACTTCTCGTCGAACGGTTTTACGCGTTATCAGTGATGCGTGAAAAACGGGCAGAAATAAACAACATCGATTATGTTTGATGCCATAATAAGTTTGTCTTTTTGTTTTTCCTTCCTGTCAGCGAGATTACTGAGATGTCATCGTGGAGCGCGCTAGGAATCGCGCGACGGGAATAAGAAACAAGCGCGGTCAAGAGAAACAAAAAATATCAGTTGTAGATGTTTAGTTCAAAACAAAACTGCCCTTTTTAGCATTCTCCGTAAATGTTCAAGGCACTTATACGTGCAATGAACCTGGTCAAAAAAGGGACTGTAGAGGAGGGGCCACACCTAGGAATTAAAGGAAAAAGCTCCTCATTCTGAAAATGGGACTTTGTGAGCGCGGGACTTTATAGCGGAACCATTTGTAGGAGGATGGCACGTTTCAGTATCTCTCATCGACTATTTGCTGTGAATGCTGTTGGCTCATCAGCAATCCCATGTGACACGCAAGGAGGGTTTCCCAATCGTGGCCCTCCATCCTCGCCTTTCACTTCAGGGAATTCCACCCAAAACTAGCAAGAACCACATACATATGCGTATCAATGCAACTAAAGCACTTCAATTTCTAGGGAGAATTCAGAAGAATATCACCCTATCTTGATCAGTAAAACTACTCATACCATACATAGCCTCCATGCCCTCACATGCCTGCTCATGCTATGGATGGTCACCACAAGATAAACTAGTCACCAAATCTCATCAAACCAGAACATGTAGGAGAAAAATCAACCAAGTGAATGCAAATCTTTTGCACATGCATGCAAGTGACTTCACAAGGTTATTGCATGGGAACAGCACGGCCACCACCAGCAGCACCACCACGATAACCACCACCACGACCCCTCCCACCGCCACCGCCGCCGCCGCCGCCGCCGCCACCGCCACCACCACCATAACCACCATATCCCCCAGCAGCATATCCACCACCTCCCCCATATCCACCCCCTCCATATCCACCTCCCCCTCTCCCGCCATAACCATACCCTCCTCCCCCGTAGCCTCCCCTCCCACCGTAACCACCCCCGCCTTGGTAACCGCCTCGCCCGCCGTAACCACCGCCGTAACCGCCGGAATAGCCGTAGCCTCCGCGGCCTCCTCTCCCTCCTCTTCCGCCGTAACCGCCATAACCACCACCGTGACCCACATCGCCAAACGTCTGGTTACAAACAGGGAGGGGTTTGACCAGGAGAAAGGGAGAGGTAGAATGGGGAGGAAAAGCAGGGAGGTAAAAGAGTGAGGGAAAAGAGGGGGTGGGAAATAAGGATGGCAAAATGGAAGCAACAGTAATGAAAGCGGGTCACAGGCAGGCAGATACCACAAAAAAGTAATTCTGGAATTCAAGCAGATCTGCTGTCATTCTTGAATCTTGAGGCGCATCCCCCCTGTCCCTTCCCTTCTCTCACCTCGGTATCCATCCGTCGCATATCAGACACGCACATGCCGCCACCCATCCCCCTTCCGGCCCTAAATAACTTTCATTTACTCCCCCTCCCCTTTACCAGCTAACCCCCTTCCCCCCCCGCCCCCCCCACCCCCCCCCCCACCTCAGTGTCCATCCGTCGCATGTCAGAAGCGCGCATGCCGCCACCATGGCCCCTTGTACCTCACCAAACTGCCGTTTTCCCCCATTCCCCATTCTTTACCCCCTTTCCCCACACCCTCCCTCACCTCACCTCAGTGTCCATCCGTCGCATGTCAGAAGCGTGCATGCCGCCGCCACCCCGGCCCCCTCTGGCCCTGAATGACCTTCATTTACCCCCCTTTGCCCCCTTTCATCCCTTTCCCTCATCCCCACACCATGCAGCTCACCTCGGTGTCCATCCGTCACATGTCAGACGCGCGCATGCCGCCACCGCGGCCACCTCCAGCCGGGGCATAACACCATCAACCAACCCCAACACCTCCCCACACCATGCAGCTCACCTCGGTGTCCATCCGTCGGATGTCAGAAGCGCGCATGCCGCCACCACGGCCGGCCCTGAATGACCTTCATTTACCCCCTTGTATTCCCTTTCATTCACGCCTTTTCCCTCATCCCCACACCCCCACCTCACCTCGGTGTCCATCCGTCGCATGTCAGACGCGCGCATGCCACCACCGCGGCCCCCTCCGGCTCGCGAAAGCGCATCACAAGAGAGAGAGTCGAAAAAGTCGTCTTTCACATAGTTGGTGGACGCCTGGTGTGCGGTGGAGGGTGGTGAAGATGGGTGGTGACGGGAAACAAGGGGCAGCGAGTGAGGTATAACGCATCAAACAGAAAGCGCGTCACAGGAGAGCGAGTCAAAGAAATCGTCCTTGACAAAGTTGGTGGACGCCTGGTGGTGGGGTTGGGGTGTGGGCACAAGAGGGAGGGAGCGCGGACTCAAGTCTTTTCTCCACATAACGATTAAAACGTGACACACTTTCATTCAAACTTGCAGAATTGATCAGACGTGTTTATCTTTGACGTTTCACCATACCATCACACATCTTCTACACTTCCCATTCCCTTCTCCCCCTGTTCTCCTCCTCACACCATAACACCACAGCATCCCACCACCATCCTCTGCTTCCCCATATACCATCACCCTTTTTCTGCACTTTCCATTCCCCCTCGTCCATCTTACCTTCTTCCCCTCTTCTCCTCCTGCCCCTTCCTGCTCCTCGCTCTCCCTCTCCTCCTGCTGATTCTGCTGCTGCTGGTGCTGGGGGTGCTGCTGCTGCTGCTGCCCCGCATGCCCCCCCAGCTCGCCCCACACCTCGGCCTTGTTGAACTTCTCGTTCATCGCACTGAAATCAAACTCCTCTGCGTAGGCAGCTACATTCTGCGGGTGGAAGGAAGGAAGGAAGGAAGGAAGGAAGGAAGGAAGGAAGGAAGGAAGGAAGGAAGGAAGGAAGGAAGGAAGGAAGGAAGGAAGGAAGGAAGGAAGGAA